AAAAAGAGTCAGTCACAAGTATGATGAATTTGTATATTTGCAAATGAACAGGTTATTTGTTAATGCAATAAGGCAAGTATGTGAAATCTGTGACATACTGCCTCCTCTAATATTTTGCATCTCTTATTTCCATTAACACTCAGTGAATACGCAATCTGAAATCATAGAGAATTGCTATGAGGATGACTGTCACCAGCATCAGTAATGCCTACAAATGCCTGGCATTTCAATCAAAAGGAATGCATGCACTGGACAGAATGGACCAATGAGAATTGACTCCCAACCAGATGCTGTGCCAAATCACTTGAATTTATGCCCAGTGGCAATTGTGCAATAGTTGGAAGTTTGGATGCACATCCCTCATTGTGAGTATGGTCATACTAAAAAGGCTGAATTAAATCAATACAAAGCTGCTTTCAGTTGGATGTGAAGGCTAACAGAAATGTGTTCTAGTTCAAAGCAGAGGAGCAGACGGTGACACTTGTTACTAAACACTAGCTGGCAAACATGACACAAAGAAAAGACCTGAGGCAGCAGTCTCCATGTCAATGGGATGTGTATCACTAATGGAGGAAATCGAGAAGGTACTCTATTTTCTAGATTCCTCAACTTTCCTGGCAGCAAAAGTGGGGGGTGGTGGGGCGCAGTATGAGAGTGTAGAGAAGCCATATGCTCTACTCTCTGCTTTACCTTTAATGTAAAGAGAGAAGACATTGCTGGGATCTTTGGACAAACACATAAAAAAGTAACGGGTACAGAATCTTCTGTAAATCAGTCCAAAGAAACAGATTTTGACAGTACAACATTTCTTTTAAATTACTTACCAGGTGCTTTATTTGGGGTGCAAAGCTAAGGACCTCTCCTTGACCTCATATATCTGATACAGAGGTAGAGTTACCATTGCACCCATTTCTTAAGCCATGGGGGAAGAGAACAGATTATCTTATTTGGAAGTGAAGCCTTAAAATTAAACAGATCCACATTACTCAAACAGTAGAAATTCCCAATAAAATGTGCCTACTCCACACATTGCCTAACCCTGTCACCAGGCCAGCTTTGAACTTAATGCTCCCATTTCCACCGCTGCTCTGAGCAGCCACCACCTCACAGACAGAGAACCACTGGAGAACATGGACAGAGGATGAAAGAACTGGTCCTGCAACTCCCCTCCCAGGTGGATACAGCTTGAGCTATACCAGTGTGAATGAATAAATCACCACATATACATATGTATGTACGTGTAGATGTAAATATTATATTTAGGTTTATATATACACTGGTATATTTATATTGCCATCATACAAGACATCAGCTCAGTTCCACTTTATGTGGATCTTTATAGATGTATGTATATTCTGCTCTTCATTGTCATCTGCAATGATTTTTCCTTTACCAAGTTTTTCTGTACACTGTCCTATTTTGTCAGTTTGTGCCTTGGTGTCTTTGTTTCTCTGATGAAGTTCTCTCTCGCTCAAACAGCAAGCTTAGAGCTCAGCTCTTCCACCTAAATTATTGCAGAAGAGAATTGGTAATTAAGTTTTAACAAGATTTAAATGATATTAAAAACAGACAGTTAAAAGGAAACACTGCCTTGGGCTTTATTGTAAATTTGTATAATTATTTTTAGTCCTCTGGAGGATGCATGATTATGTTTCTGTATTTATAAAAATACTGCCCTGGAGGCACCAAAATGAATTTTATAGTCCACTGATCTGCACACTAATATTAGTCTTGTGGTGTCAAACGTATTTTTTAGCAAATAAATGTCCATGACAATTATCAAAATTTCCAAATAATTTTATAATATTCTTGACCTGGTTTAATTAATTAATTTTAAAAAGGTATGCTGTAAAGACAAAGTAAGAAAACCAGTACATCACAGTGACAAACATGCAGGAAAGGGATGAACCAATTGAACAAAACAAAACATGTATGGATATTTAACAGTTTTGGATTATAACAGTTTTGCTAAGTAAGTGTTAAGTAAAGACTCAGAGACTGATCCAAAGCTCTTTGAAGACACTTGGGCTGAAGATTTTTAACAAAACATTTGCCTTCCTACAAAAACATAATCACTGTGAAAGATCCTTCTCTTTATCAGGTGTCCTTAGATACTTTTCAGAATGAGAATAAAAATCAAGAATAAATTAAATTATTTGCTACAGCCCAAAATCACAATCAGAGCCTGGAACCGTAATGTCCATAGTTTGTACCATCAGTATAGTGAAGGCTCTGGTTTAATGGTGGAAGATCATGGAGGCAGAGCCATCTCTTCTATGCTGCTACACAGAGGAAATAATAGTTAGGTTAAGATTTGTTGTTCTCATTTATGGATCTAGCCTGTAAAATCCTAATAGGTTCACAGCTGGTTTTATCCCTTATTTGTCTTGCATTTCATAATTTTTAAGAGGTGTTTTCAAAGCCAGAAGTCCTACTCCTACAGTGCTAGTAAAAGGTATAGGCTTTTGGAGCTTGTCTAGATAACAGTAGAATAACAATAACGATATTGTACTAGTTCAGGATCCAGTCCTGTTATGTATCTGTTGAGAAAACTCTTACCAGCAATCAGTCAAAAGACAATGAATTCAATGGGAATACATGGATGCAAAAATTACAATGATAGTTAGTAGTAATCCATTTTGTTATCAAGATAAATTCATTGGCCTTGTAGTTTATCTCCCTATGGAACTAATGTATTGTCAGCTGAAATAATGTGTTATCATCAGTGCAATAATTATCACTGTAATACTCTTAAATAATTATGAGGATTAGAAACTTCTCATATTATCCAAGTTTCTGAGGAGAGCTAAATAAAAATTTTGTGATTTTTCCACACACAGACTGGAGATGAGATGCTGCTTGTGTGCCAAAAATTAAAAGAGGAAGGGACATCTCAGTATCTAATAGTAGAAGCTAAGGTGAATTTTACAAAAACAGTTGAGTGTCAGTCAACTGCTGACTCAGGGCAACATTTGTTAGGCCATAAATGAGCTGATTACATGTTCAGAACTACAATTTCCATGAAGATTCATTCAAGGAGATATTAATGATCCTTATTTTAACTGTGACAAAATGGTGTCAGAGAGGGAATGTTACCTGACACTCTCCACTGGTCCCATGCAAATATAGCTCCTGATATGTGAACTTTTGCCCCAATCTACACGTTAGCCAGAAGATTTAAAAGAAAAGCAAAAATACTTTAAAAATAAAAGTAAAATAAAAGATGAGCAGTCAAGACTGAGTAAAATGTTTCTGTGATGCTTCAAGGCTGATTGCCAATCATGTATATAACCTTGGGGATGAAATGAAGTGGTCTGAAAAAGCAAGCACAGAAAATTCTTGTGGTTCTTTTTTTTAAATTAAGAAATCTGTGGGTTATTGAGATCATTTGCACTTGGAATTTTGTACCCACAATCAACTGCAGGAAATAAATTACAGATGGTATTCTACAGAACTTGCTCTTGCAAAGTGCTAAGCATAGGCTTTGAGATGAAAGGCAGGCAGGGGCTGAAAACACACAGCTCCTTGGAGTACCAAAGATGAAGAGAATAAGTGACGGTGCTGGCAATGGATCAGATATGAGCACACAATCACTGTTCTGCAGGGTAAGTCACAGCACATAGCACAATATTTATGCTAGCCTTGTGGTGGCTATGTAAGGATAGGCTGGGATACTACCTCATCCAGTATGGAGCCTGCCAGGCAAAGCTTCTCTTCAAAATGCTTTGATTAAATTTGACCTAGCAGAGAGAGTTGTACTGGTATGGACCTTTGTATGCATGAGGCTGGAATATTTTTGACTCACAATCACATGCCAAAACCCCATATTTAATGTCTTGTAGTCCTATGATTTGTAATATCTGACTACAGACAGAAAAGTATACTTACTGTTAGTAAAATATACTTAGTCTTTGTTTGCAGTGTAAGTCTTCCATACAAAAAGAGTAAAGTTTGAGGGCAGGACCTATTTATCTTAAAGGGTTTCCAAAGATATAATGAGGTTTATACATGCAAATTTATAAACAATACTGCATTTAACAAACTAGAAGTATTTGGAAGAGCTACTAGTAGAGACACAGCTCATAATTTAAAAAAGTAATTTTACAGTTTTACAGACTGCCCTGGGGTTAAAAGTAAATTCAGAGTGAAATATTTTTACATATACACAATCCTGCTTTATCAAGGAAGTAGAGTTTTTCAGGCAAATGTTTAAAATTGCTACCCATTCGATAATTTTCTTTTTAATTGATGTTAATCAGTGGGGATCAGTTATAGTTTGGCTTGACTCTGTGTGTGTGTGACAGGGGAAAGATTAACAGAGAGGGGATGAAGAGAGGGCCAAAGAAGCCTTCCTTGTCTTCGGTCAACCTGCAAGAAAAGTCAGTCACAACTGCAGTGCTCTGGGCCATGCCCCTCTGGGACACAGTACTCCCATCGAGGGCAAAGGGGAAGAGTATTGCCATTGCCACAGAAGGGCTCAGTTCACTAAAGGAGTGGCAACTGAGTGGCTCTAACGGTGCTGCAAACTGAGGAGGAATCCCAGCTCTCTGGATCTGTTGAAACAGTATAACTCTGCCCTGTCCTTTGTTCTGGGCTGTTTGCATTGTGAACTGTTTAGCTGTAAGAGAAGTGAAGGTAAAACTGCTGCTAGGGTTATCTTTAAAGCAGCATCACACAGAGGCACTGGAAACCAGATTACACACAACAGTGTCTGCATACCTGTGTAGCTACACTGCTAATGTAATACTATAGCAAGCTGATTTATTACCAACATCTTGTTCCAGGAGTTTTCAGCCCTGCTTCGTACTTTGGATGCCTCATTATATAGAATCTGCACCTCTGGACTCTTCCTTTTCTGGGTGGTTCATTTTGAAGTAACACATTATCAGTTTCCATCACCTGGTGATACATTACCAGAATACATCAGAAAAACAGCTGGCTCAGTCTCTCAATCCTTGGCGTCCAGAAACAGCTGACCGTGATGATATATTACATGAATTCTTCAGTCTATCATTGTAATACATCAAAACAAGGCACTGGCCTGAAGGTGTATTACTCAAAGAAAGGCAACGCTGAGTGAACCTGTCCAGGAGAGGGGTTCTGGTTTAATTATGGAACTGAAATTACGGTACGCTGCTCAGAGAACGTTTGTTAGTTTCAAAATTTTGGTGCACTGGTAAAATACAATTTGCATTTATACAGATAATATTATAGCAGACAAACTTTATCGCCACATAACGTCTTGCTAGTTTGGAGACAAACACCTTGTCAACCAGAGTTCTGTCAAAATGTTGCAGTGTGCAACCTAACAGAGAGGCTGCACATTTTATAATTGAGCCAGCTGGGAATTGAGTTCAACTGATAAACCTAAGCACCAATTCTTATTCTTTTCATTTCTTTATGGAATACGCAGAATCTGATATTTGAGCACAGTAACTGAAAAAGGATCCCACCAGTGGGTTCTCACTGCTGCCTCTCTTGGTGGCACTCTCAGCAGGTTCCAGGTGATGCTGTGAGTCTGCGGAAAAGCAGCAGCAGAGAACAAGGCCCAAGGCATTGGCAGGGAAAGACCTGGAGCTGAAAAAAAAAACAAACCAGAAATTGAGACAACCATCAGCAAAAAGTATAAAAGATTATTTAATTGAAGACTTTTCCTAAGAGTTTAATTTACTGTAGGTATTTACACCAGACTTCACCTTGCTGGATGAACAAGAATGTTGCAATGATCAAGAATGCAGACTTGCCATAGGAGTACCTTGAGCTATTAAACTGATGGCAAATCTGTTTCCTCCTATTGGGCCACAATGGGCGCAGTAGAGGGAGTGTCTACATATCTCTTTCCATTTAATCAGGGCTTCCATTCTGTTCAAAAGACAGGAAATGCTCCCAAAATGCTCCCTCTGGATTGGATTCACACAGAGGCTTAGAGTATGAGCTACGTTTTTCATCTGCAAACCCAGCAATGACAGGCAAGGCATGATATGAAGTACAACCAGTTAGAACTAAGGCAGCAAAAGTTCACTTGCCTCTAATTCCAGAAGCATTATTTCTTTGTATTGTTTCAAAGACTCAGCTGCCTCATCATTTTTCTGCCTATGCCAAGTTCCAGCTCATTTTAACAGGGCCCAGGATAGTTCCTTCTGGGTATGCTACTGACTTCACATCCCACTGTTTTCTCTATGTCCCTGCAATATTAGCCTCCATGATCCCTTCCTTCTCCTGCCTGTCATGCTGCTATGCACTCAGCTTTTTATGATTCCAGAAATGCCCTTAAAATTGAACACTTCCCTGATGAAAATTCCTGCAACCTTACTTCAGTTCCTTTCTGTCCTGTTGCTCTATCTACACAAAGTAAACTTAGATTGGTTTCATTCAGATAAACATATGCTAAACCAGGGCATAGCATGATATTACTCTAATCTGTTGTCTTTTCCTTTCTCTGCTAGTCTTCATTGCTATAGAAAGGAACAGAATATTTCATTTGGAAGGGATCTACAATGATCATCTAGTCCATGTGCTCTCTACCTAAAGTAGAGAAAACTTTCTGATTGAGAGTTCCATCATCTGAGTTTACATTACTAGCAGAAAAAACAGAGATTAATTTCATGGTGATCCATGTTTCTGTCCAGTAGAAGCAGCCAACAGCTAATGTTCTTTAGCAGGTATTTGAGAACATAAGCTGATCTGAGAAGGGGCCAATGGGCAGCATTTGGTCTACCATAGTATACTATAAGCCTCATGAATCAAAGACATACCTGAGAATGAACATTTCACAGATGTGTTATATTCATCAGAACAATTTTAGCTCTGTGTTGTTATTTACAAGATCTGAACAGTCCTTTATTTACAAAAGAAATGGCTCACATTGATACATGTGACAAGAGCCCCTGAATAAAACACGTAGCAAGAACAGATTAAAAGTGTGATCAGTAGTGAATGAGAATGCACTAACATAGGGCTATTACACCCACTTTTGTAAACCTTGAAAATGGTTCAGTGTGTTATAGATTTAGTTGTGAATGTAGATGACGTGTCCTTTGCTGCAATATCTTGCTGTATTGGTGTTGTGGGAGGGTGTGAGTGAGGATTAAGGACAATAGAGACAGGGATGACACATGTAAACATTGGTTACAAAATAGCAGGAAGAAGAGGAACTGATTAATGGATGATATCCCATAAGGATGCCTCAGTGAGGGGACAGGTGAGACAGCTGCCAAGATAAAGAGTGTCTCAGTGAAAAGGATCTTCTTTCACTAGCTTTCTGGTTTTTAAAATATCAAAGTCCTGCAGAATTCCCTTTACAGTGCAATGTGAAAGAGCAGCTCCATAGTGGCACGACTGCCTGAGGTGTGTGCCCTTTTTGTCACACGACACAGGAACTACTGTGACCTCCCCAGTTTTCCTTACTGATGCAGTGACGCCATCTGTCCCATTATATAAGAACTTGGATTTTGACACAGGGATGTAGCAATGCAAGTATACTATAAGAGTCAGAAATGCCTTGTGGTCACCCATTTTCCAGTGTCACCCTCCTGGTACTGAAAGCAGAATAAACAAAAAAATAAGAATAGAGTACTGTTTAAACACATCATCCAAGGAAAATCAGCAGAATTAAGAATTCATACTCTGGTTGCACTTGGAATGTGTGTCTTTGTTCAGTGGGAATACAGCTGAGCCATATAACTACTTGTGATTTATTGACTGAAAGGGCTGGATCTGTCTGTGATGACCTCATCTAGTTGAAGATGTCCCTGTCCACTGCAGGGGATTTGGACTAGATGACCTTAAAGGTGCCTTCCAACCCAAACCATTCTATGATTCTATCACTCAGGCCCACTGACATCAGGCCATGCAGTGCCTGGTGGAAACCTCACACAGAATTACAGAGCAAAGCTGGACATAACCAGCCTTTGGCCACTAACCCTCACCCAGTCCTTGTGCTTCACCCTACGAATTCTGAAGGGAATAATCTGGAAAAAAACAACATACTTCACAGAAAAAAAGGCAAAGTATTTATGCTGGTCACTTCAACCTTTCTTAGACAAGACAGGAAAGGATAGAATGAGAGCTTTTTGAAGAAGGAATTCATTGCTCCACTTCTCTCTCTGGCAGATACTACCAAAGTATGACCTGGGACAGGTGTTATTTGTAATAAAAGAAGTTTTGATAAATTCTTATGTTTACACCCAGCAGCATTTTTAATGTGAAAAAAGCATACCAGCCAGTCTGTGAACTCCATGGAGGACTAACATATACCAGTGAATTATACAAGAAGCTCCTGTATATTGTGACAAGTCAAAGCTAGGTGGCCAGTTAAGGACATCAAGAGATTTGACAAAATCATATTTTTGTTACAATCTTTTCCCTGTTTTCTCTAATTGTCTTATGTGACTTCAGGGTACAGGTGTTAATTGCCTAAACTGGTACCTAATACCACAAGTTTTCCAGACTATAACTTTTCTGCTTCTAAACACCAAGCTCTCACTGACATAGTGATAAAAATAGTGGGTCCAGCGTGTGCCTGTTCACACATATATATAAATAAATCCATTTTAATTAATGAACCTATTCACTAGCCCAAGGTCATTTTTAAGAGGCACACAAAGATGATAAGACTCAAACCCCCAAAATGCTCATGCAGCTGAATTTTGTCCTGACTTTTACTAGCCAGTGAAATCAAGACATAAATGAACAAATCAAGGTAAACTAACTTGCAGATCTTCTTTCTTCCAGGAACTCAGAACGATAAACCATGCAGAGAAGGTCACTGTATTCTTGACCTCCTCTAGGAATCTACATGAAGTCAGTGGGGCACTAGATTCTGGCACTCTCTACAGTATCAGTGGTTCATTGTCATTAAGTATTTGGACAGCTGAGTTGCTATATTGTTATGTTTCTACAAAAATAATCTCTTGTGTTGACTACAATTACTCTTTTCCTCTTCACTTCTACATTATAAGTCATCCTAAGCTCATCACGGACATTATTAGTAACTTATTGTTACCTTTTTCAATGTACTTAGAAGACCAACATTCCCCAGACACAAGTGTCAGCATATAAAGTGCTGTCAGACATTTGAACATAATATACTCTGTTTCTAAGGCTTCCGTTGTATTACTAGTATGATAATTATTACAGCAAATGATAAAATACTGCAAAATTGTTTTCTCCCCCCTTAATAACATAAATAAAAGGAGCAATTAATTTCCTACAATAAAAACAGGCAATACAATAACGTACAAATGTGGAGTTTCTTCATTATTGCATCAAATTGCAAAACGGAAACATATAATTTCAAAAGGCTCATAAGCAAAAATGGAAACACAGCTGATGTTGCGTCAGCATGTACTACAAAACCATGAAGCTTGCACAGCTCACAGATAGTCTCCTCAAATGAACCAGTTAACATTTCTAAATGAAAATACATAACACAAAGAAGCTTCTCCTTTTTTTTTTTAAGGTCATACTTCCAGAACTTAAGGCAATTTTCCAGGATGTTACTTCTATATATCCATCCGATACTATACGCTTATAGCACCACCAGCTATTTTGAAACCTTTCTATCATGCATAGCTACATCTATAGCTTTATTGGCACATCTTATGACAGATGGTAATAATGTTTTCAAACGGAATCAACGTACTTCAAAATTGATACACCTCCCTCTACACCCCATATATTTACCAGATGCGGTTTTAAACCTTTTTTCCACACTGGTATTTTGGTTTGTTTGGTTTTAAGTTGCTGAGAAAAGGTAACACATTTTCTTTGACATCTCATGCAATTTTACAAGTATTCAGGGCACATTCCCTGCTTTGCATGGAAAATGTATTTGCACAGTTGTCAGAATGATGGACAGGGGGAGAATGATAGGAAGGAGCACTGATCTTTGCTTGTTATTACATACAATAGCCCAGTAGGAATCATGATGTGTTGGTGAGACAAACTGTGTCCCATTCTGGAACATATTAAGTTTGTCTCCAGGACACACATGACTTCACTAGGGTGTCTAACCTCATTCATAATAGATGCTAATCTTTTCAGGGCTGACTGATGACAGCACTTCCTGCCCTTCACGGAATTAGAGCTGGGTTTTATCAAAGGACTCAAACTGCCTGCTAATTAGACTAATTCCCTTCATCATGAATTATTTATTTCCATTGGTAACCGACCACTGTGACATTAATGGGTTCTGCTCAACTTAGTTTCATACTAATATACACTATAAGTTAAATGTTTAAAAACTCCTGATACTTCACTCCAGGTCAAGTGTATCTTCACATAACTCTTGATGTTTTCAATAAAGTTTTGATAATTAAAGACTTAGAATAAAGTGTTCATTGCTAAGAAAAAAGAAAAGGAAGAAGAGCTTTAAAATTCTGAAATCAAGTTTGCTTCTTTTTTTTTTTTCCCCAAAATGTGAGGTAAAATATACAAATATATTTAAGATTAATAATATGAGCCCTCTATTGCACTAATCAGGTTTCAAGGCAATTCGTAGAACTGAATGCATACCTTCAGCCAGAACACGTAGTGCCTGTGTAATCAAAATTCTCAGCCAGTGTAAGTTATGGGGCTGTAGCATCAAAAATAAGTTCTGTACTTAAGTAATAAGTATCAAATATACAAACACAAAAAAAAGAATACTGTGACAGACAGCATCATTGCAGCCCTGTAAGAGTCGGTCAGAAGATCAACATTGTCTCAACATTGTCATCAGGGACATGGACAGTGAGGTACTTGACAACGGCCTGCTTGGCCTTGCCGATCCCTGCAGTGGGATGTGGTGCCGAGGCTCCTGAATGCAGAACCATGTGGCACAGCGAGTGCTGACCCGTGCGGTGCAGGCAGTGCTGGGCTGTTCTGCGGTGCCTGTACAAAGAGTTCTGTGTTATTGTTAGGTGCCTGGGCCTAGCCAGAGCTGTTAGAGATAACCGCAT